GTCTTCCTGTACCTGGAATGGCAGACATGGACTCTAACATCCATCATGTGTGACTGGACTCTGTACCCATATTCTCAGGGCAGGAACTGTATCTTATTCTCCAGGGGAGCATCTAACAGTCTGGTACATACAGACACTCCACATGCATTTCAGGATGAACTGCAGCCCAGCCCACAGCAACTCAGGCTGACAGTGTGGCAAAAAGTCCACGTGGTTACTGTATGCCATTGGCCCCCATCTCAGAAGCTGAAAGTGTGTGGATGGCAGGGTGGAAAGCAACAAGGAGATCTGAGCAACATGGCCAAGAGTCATGATCCTTAGAGCTTTTATTTAGGAAACATCCACTCTGCACAGTCACCCAGGCTGTCTCATTCCAGCATCCCTGGGTCTGGGGGTGGGGCTGGAGGACCACAGGGGGCTGGCAGGAGATGGGCAGCAGGGGGACACACACGGTGCAGGGGGGCTGAGACTGATGGGCTGTATCAACAGAGTTCTGCTGACCCGTGACTGTCAGAAACCTGGGGACACTGGGATTTGCATCCTTTCCACAGTCCAGTTCCCTAGAAATCATTTCAAGTATTATCAGGGAATATACACACAGAGCTGCAGAACCTGCAAGAGGCTGAAGATATGCATCACAGCCCTGGCCCATCTTTCCACTTGCTAGACTTGACCTTGGGTCTCTGCGCCTTAGCAACCTTACCCAAAGAACAGGGGTGATCTTTGCTTTCCTGTAGCACAGGTCTAGCTTGAACTGTGGGGGCACTCTGCAAGTGCTGCACAGCTTGAGTTGGTTCCTGTAGGTCATTTATTCAAGGAAAGCAGCACTGGGCACCTCTTTTCCCCACTTCAGTGGGACCTCTGGCACCCTGTCAATCATGGCCCTCCCGCAGGGAAGCCGATAGGAACTGTAGAGTTTAAAGCTTGAGTCCACTTCCTTTTGTCTCTGGTCCTACCTTCCGTGTAGGCAGGGGAGTGGGAGCCTGGCAGAAAGCTGCTGAGACCCCTTATTTAGTTCGCTGGAAGAACTGGAAGACTGCTTTCTCCTGCTCATAGGTCTCGATGGAGCCGGGTCGAAGACGTCGGATTTCCGCAATGGCGTCTCCCGCAGCCAGGCCCTGCTCCTTCACCAGGTAGCAGGCCAGCATGGTGCCAGTGCGGCCGAATCCCAGGGCACAGTGCACTCCCACGGCCTGTGAAGAGGGAGCTTGGTGGAGCGGGACTTCCCCAACACTCTCCCGCGCCCAGCAGCATTCCTGTTTCCACAAGTCTGAGCCCCTCAGCTGACAAGAAGTACCATCAGAGGGTTCCAGACCCGGGCTCCTGAGCTGCCTTCCCAGATCTACCTTTGCTGTCCAACATGGAAGCCACTGGACATACATGGTTACTGAGTACTTGAAATGTGGCTAGCGCAAATGAGATGGGTGGTGAAATATACACCAAGGTTTAAGCGGAAATAGCTACTCAAAATTTATAAACGGCCTGAGGCTGCGTATCTGCAATCCCAGCATTGTGGAAGGCTGAGGCGAAAGAAAAACAAAAGCTGGGATGTAGCTCACTGTAAAGGTCCTCAGTTCATTCTCCAGGGCCACACACACAAACACACACAGACGTTGTATGCTGATTATATGCCGAAATGATAATATTTTTGACACACTGGACTAATTCCAAAATTAATCTCACCTGCTTTTCATCTCTTTTGAAAGCTGTTGCGGCTGCTGAAAATTTAAAATTCCAGATGTGTCTCTGTGTCTCCCTTATGTTTGCACAGCACTGCTCTAGAAAAGGGTAAAACCACCTGCTTTGGCTTTCAACTCCATCTCTCCCAAATTGATCCACATTTTTTTTTTTTTTTTCTTCCTCTCTGCAGAGTCCGCTCGCCTTTCATCGCCTCCCTCCGCAGGCTGGCTCCCCGCCCACCCCCCCCCCCCCCCGCAAGAACCTTGGTGAGTCCTACCATGCCCTTCCTCTGTCGCAGAAATCTTACTGACCCATGCCCCCCCCCCCGTGCCCGGCGCGTCCCCAGCTCGCTGACCTCTCCCCGGGCGTTGGCCTCGTCCACGATCTGCACGAAGCGGTCGATCTGGTCTGGGGCTGGCGGGCAGAAGTCCGGGATGCGCAGACGGTGCAGTGTGAGGCCCGGACAGCTGTCGGCGTAGGGGGGCCCGCGCTCGGTCAGGGACACCAGGTGTCGCACTCCCAAGTCCAGCAGGAACTGGTAGTGGGCGGGGAGCCGAGGCAGCGCCAGCCCCGCCAGCCGGCCCGGGAGAACCCAGGAGAAGTTGGGGGGCTGCACGCCCATCGCTGGAGGAGGGCACCAGGCAGAGGTCAACGGGCCAGTCGCACCCTTCCGGCTCCGCCCCGTCGTCCGCCCGCCCTCGGGGCGGGGTAACAGACCCCACGTGGTCCGCGGGGCACCGCCCCCGCTGGCGCTCTACTCCGCGCCCGGGGATTGGCTAAATCGTCCGGGCGTGGCCGGGACACCACGCCTCCCGGGAGCAGCGTAGGCCCTGGCCGGTCTCTGCCGGAAGCTCACCCTGGGGCTTGCGCTGGACTATCAGCTGCTGTGGAATGCAAGCAGCCTTGGGCACCGCTGACTTGAAAGAAAGAAACCTGGTGCATAATGTTTTCTGTGGACAAAGCAACCCAGGCCTGGGCTCTGCTGCTCCCTGGTGGTGCGCCACTGACCCTATCTACCCATGGGACTGGCCTCAATTTACCTTCTTCCAAGTGGATGCACACAGGATTTAAGAGAAGAAAAGTCTACCTCTGCCCTTAAGGCAGAATCTCCTCTCTGGTGACATTATCAAGAAGTCATTATCAGGGACCTCTTCATCTGTTTGAGTAAGAGAGTATTACTACCTTAAATGTGGCTGCTTTCATTTCTCTATTGCTGGGACTGTTGTTAAAAAATACGGGACTGCCATGTGGCACCCAAAAATCTTACCTAGGTTAATATTATAGTATCACTATCAGACAATAACATAAGGGCGTTAATTGAGCATTTACCATGTGCCCTGTATTCTTAAGCACTTTATATGTATTAACTTCCTAAGTTGACTCAATCATCTTATGAGATAGGTGAGCCAATCAATTCCACTGTACAGATGAGAACACTGAGGCACTGGAGGGGTTAAGGAAGACGACTTGTCTCCAGAACCTTTTACAGCACACTACTTTTTCTAAAGTGAAATAGGAAATTACATTCTCTTCACACCTGCACCCCTACTCCCCATAAATATCATCTAGTTAAAAAATGGACTTTTTCACTTAGAAAAAATAATCATATGTCATTGTGGTATTTGAAGATTTCCAGGCCTTCTTGGTCATGCTGACCAGGGCAGCCTGGAGTTGATCAGTGCTGTTGTTTTAAGGCAGAGACCTAAATCTGTACACAGACTTTCAGCTGGATCTGAAAAGTCCTCTTTTTCACTTTGGCGTGCAGCCTTACCCGGTCTGTGTGAAAGTGGCTCCCCCTTAGTGGACTGGCTCGAAGACCAGGCCTTTTGCAGATGCTCTCTGGAAGAAACACCTGGAAGGTGTTTTGTATGTCGTGGTACCTGAGGACCCCAGGCTTAAAGAAGTTGGTATCCTGGCCAAGGACCGGTTGATTCTGCCTGAGAACACTTGGCCCTAAGATGTCCTCCTCCACCCTTCCACGCCCCTCTCCCCACATCCTGCCACTGAGTTCACAGGCTCCGGCCCAGAAAAGGGATAGTGGCAAACAGGGCATGCCCCAGACAAAATGCTCTTCCAGGTTCTGGGAGCAGTCAGATCCCTCCTTCTCTGCCTTTTTCTGCCCTCCTCACAGGCAGAGCCTTGATTAAGCTCTTCCTGTGAGCACCCCCATTTCCTGCTTACTCCCCAGCAATCTTCAGCTGCCCCAGCCCAGTCCATTCCTTTTCCTGCTTCTCAGCTGTGCCTTCACAGCCCCCTGTCACCCTGCACCCCTCTTTTCTCCATCTAGGTGCTCCCTGGCCTTGCTCTTTTGTTCCTTTCACTCTTCTGGGAAAAGCTTCCTCCTTATCTCCCTTTCATCCTTCCCTCATATCCCGGTCAAATCCCATCTTCTCAAAAACAAAAAACAAAAAACAAAAAACCAAACCAAACCAAAAAATGGAAAAAAAAAAAAAGGCCATATTTTGGGAGAGACAGGGATTCTTTTCTTCCCTGTGCCCCCCAACAGTAATGGTTTCCCCTTAAAATGGGGTCTCCATGAGGCTAGCTGTGTGCCTGCCAGCCCTCCCTATGGAAAAGCCAATTGGTTTCCTAAGAATTGCTTCCCCTTCCTCACTGTTCTGGCCCTTCCAACAGAACCTGGCTGGAAAGGACCAGGGTCCTTGCTTGAATTATGCGCCATTGTCAAAGATTCATTCAATTTTCTGTGTTGGCCCAGGGAGTATCAAGCCATAAGGAAAACTCTTCCCTGGTAGTTTCCTGGCTTGGCTTTCTGAAACCAGCAGTGCCAGCCCCTGCCTCCTCCTGACCTAGTGCTGGCCTTCTCACCCTCGCCTCTTTGTACAGGGCTGTCAGAAACTCAGGAAGACTTAGCTTCTGGACTCCAGTATCACCTGTGCATCCCTAGGGGTAGCAGCTGCTTCACTGAACTGGGTTGACCTGTTTGCTTAGGAGCCACAATGCCTCACTTCGTCTCCCAGTTCCACACTTCTAGTGTGCAACGTGATACACAATGCTCAAAAATGTTAAATGAATGAATTGAGAATAAAGAAGTAAGTAGAATGATCAGGGAGACTGTGAATATACATTTATGGGAGTTCCCGCGTCTCTAGGACAACCTGACTGTGCACTGGTGGTTCTTTTTGATTACTTGAGTTCCAGGGCTGTGTTGAGTATTGTGTGGTATTTCTTTGAAGTGTACTTTTTACCCATCTCTGCTTTTAAGGAAATAATGACTATGTCAGTATAACCTGGTGAAGCCCAATTACTATTTTTGCAAAGAGGGGTAAATAAGCCTTGTTCTTTATTGAGTGCTGCACCAGTGCTGTGCACTTGTGCGATAGCAGGTGTGTGTGTGTGTGTGTGTGTGTGTGTGTGTTGGGGGACATATTTCTGCTGTCATTGATTGTGCAATGAGTAATAAGCTTAAGTAATTTCCCTGACTTCAAGGAGTTTACAACATACTTGGGGGGGGATTTAGGCTCAGAGATAATTATTCCCAGAACATGTAATAATGTACTAAATTGCTCATTAAAGCAATTGTCATTATCTGGCAATCAGATAATATATATTAAAAAGCTAATTGTGCAGCAAACATAACAAGCATGAAAGAAGTCAGGAGGGGAAAGAGGAGCTTGGGTTGGAACCATCAGAAGAGTCTTCCAAAGATAGGATCTGCTTTTTTTTTTTTTTTTTTTTTAAATGTATGTGGCACAGGGTCTCACTACACAGCTTGGGCTCTCAGTGATCCTCTTGTTTTCAGCTTCCCCAGGGCTGGGATTACAGGTATGCACCACCATGACCAGTCTCGGTGGCAGAGCTGGTACAACATGTGATGCTGGGAATGGAAACCTAGTCTCTGTGCTTGCCTAAGCAGGCATTTAGTCCACTGAGCTATCTTGCTGGCCCCAAGATCTACTTTTTTTCTCATTTTGTTTTCTGTCCACTGGAAAACTTAGCCAAAGAGACTTAGGGCATTCCTGTTCCCCAGCTTAGAAGAATAGTTGACCTCATTCATATTCATGTTGAGATCCTCGTTCCCCAGTTGGCTTGATGTTAGTGGCAAGTAGAGGTGAAGTTGAGCTCAGTGAATCCCTTCTCCCAGTTAGGTCACTATGTCCCACCGAGGCAAAGGATTGCTTGCATTTGGGTTCCTGGGACTTTGGACTACAGTTAGAATTCTCAGTGCCCTACACATTCTATGTCTGTCCAGATGTTATGCCTGGAACCCAAAGATCTAGAAACCAGTCTAAGAAGAAGAGAAGGGGTTGTAGTCAGCCTCCTAAGATGACCTCCAATGACCATCTCACCTTGAGGAGGTAGGTCCTATTCCACATCAATAAGGCCAGGCTCTCTACTCTCTACACTTACTGTGGACGTGACATTGTGTGTGTACTAGACTGAGTCATCAAAGACTTGGGTTTTGCCTTGTTCTGTTGTAGGAAGAGCTGCCAGGGGAAACTCTTGGGAAGCATCCAGCAGCCTTCTAGCAAGGACATGGAGACACCTGTACAGTCAGGAACCGAATCTTCTTACCTGTGCTGGTGTAGGTGAGCCAGCTGGTTTGGAAGTACATCCTCTGGCCCCATCAAGATTTTAAATGATTTGCGTACCTTGTGCCTAATCTCATGGGTTCCTTGAGCCAAAACCACCCAGCTAAGCTCTCCTGAATTCCTTACTCACCAAAAACTGTGACAAAATAAATATTTATTTTGTTTTACACAATGAAATTTGAGGTAGTTTATTGTGCAGCAATGTATAGCTAATACAGATGGAAATGTTCAGTTTGGAGAAAAGAAGAGGAATTCTAATAAATTGAGAAGTGAAATAAAATCCAAACAAGGGTAATTAAAAAAAAATCATAAGCAGCCATGACCTAGATGTGTGTGCCTATGCGCGTGCGCATATGCGTGTACTTGTGTTTGTGTGTTGTGATAGGTCAGTGAAAATTTTCTGGAAAACCATGCAATGTAGGGGAGTTAACTAGAATAGTTTGAGTTCTGTTTCTGTGCGTGTATGGTGTTAGAGGTGAAGGCTTATGTGGTATTTGTGTGGTTAGAGATGATACAGACATCATTTAAAAACTGGAGGTGACACAGGAAATAAGCAGTTGATGCATAGCATCCACCAGTCAGAACTAGTGAAGAGGAATTCAAAGCGTAGTTAAGCTGCCCTGGTGTCTAATGGGCAGGGGTCACCCTTGGGCATTCTGGAATGGCCTGGGTGTGGCCAGATTACCTTGGACATTTTAATATAGGTCTTTCCACAAGATGGCACTGATAGCTTTTTCTTATTTCTCTCTTTTTTTGTTTTGTTTTGTTTTGTTAAAAAATGTGTGATTTGTATACTGTTACAGAACATTTCATAAGTAAAAATTCATGATTTACCAACTGATGACTTTACTTTTGGTCATCTCACCTTTGTAGCCCTTACAATTTCGTGTTTCTTTGTGGATCATTATAGGAAGGCATTGAAACTTTTAAGTAAGAGGGTGATACTTATTGTTCAGGAGTTGAAGATGATGAAGGAGTTAGAGATCAGGCTTCAACTTCACAAAAGCCATTCAACAAAGACAGGCAAGAGGAGAATCAAGAGAGAGCACTCAGTTTCGTAAGCAGCATTGCTGCCATGAAAACCATTTTGGTGGACGCTTCTACTTTCGATTTCATTGAACTTAGGTGAGTCCAAACCCCCTGGATCCTGTGAGGCC